GGGGTGATAATATGACGTCATTTTGTAATGCGATACTTCCCTCCCCGCTACTCCCATTAAACGAATACGACATACGCCGTGTAATAATTATCGATCAATTAAACCTCATTGGGTTTTACGTGCGCTAGTTTCGATATGAGGGCTTCAGTACTTTATTGGTATCGATTAGCTGAATGTTGAATCGATTCTATTTATTTTATAAGAAGTGTGTTAAGGGGGAAAGGGGGGGGGGGATCTATACATGGCGTGATTTTTGTCCCTTCGAGCATACGCGCTAACACTTTTACCAGCCATTAATGTAGTCGCTTATCAATGTAACGTGCACGTTATAAAGCCGTAAAAACACATTGTCTGTATCGTAGTGTTTTATTTGCTGACCTGTTCGTTACGATGAATTCCTACCGTTGCGTTCACTTGCGCCTGAGTAGTGTCAGCGGCTGTTAAACGGAGCGAGGTTTTAATGAATTATCTATACAATCAATGCTAATACTTGTCGTTGGGCGTGCATTGATTGGAATGTGTGATAGATGGACGGGCTATCTTCCTCCCCCCCCCCCCAACACACACACACAACGTCACCTGCGAACACATATATGCATAGGGTTTAAACAAAAGAAAACAAGACTTTGGTCAAAAATAAAACCAAGTCCAAAAACAACATTGGCCGAAAATGAAAGCCGTCAAAAAAATTTGGCCAAAAATGAAAGCCGTCAAAAAAAAAATTTGGCCGAAAATGAAAGCCGTCAAAAAAAAATTTGGCCGAAAATGAAAGCCGTCCAAAAAAAAATTTGGCCGAAAATGAAATCCGTCTGGCACGCGACGGACTAATGTGCTGCACACACAAGCTGGTTAACACGCCGGCTTACAGAAATGTGTCAGGTGAAGGATGTCAACCCCTGGATGTTTGGCCAACATTCCGGCCTTAGTCACGGTGGCCTTGAACCCTGACCCGCGTACCACGACGCGACTAGATACGCCGGTATGGTCTGGGCCCTCTAATCCCGGTAAACAAACATTTGTTGACCAAAACGCGCGGCCATTAATTAATATAACTGTTACTCATGAAGTTAGCACGCAGTGGCGAAAAGAACTTTGGGCTTGTCGATTAGCCGTGTACTGAATCGCTCGGTCATTACCGAAATGTTACTCATGAATTTAACACGCAGTTTAGGCTCGTGTTTTAGCCATACCTGCTCGCTGTGCAATTCATATAGATCTTGCTTTGAGTGAATGTATGTTCTTCTATTTTAACGATCTAGACCGTAGCTTTCCTACCTTAATCCTGGGAGTTAGGATTAGGGGTTGTGTTTGAAGGGGGTGGTACCGTAAGTTATACAAAGAAGAGATGACTATTGACATGCAGGCCTACATCTACCAATCGTGTCACACCACCACAACATAGGAAACGCTAATATAATATCCCACCCCTTTCATCTCTCTGTTGTAAATATTTTAATGTAGTTTAGATTGACCTAAAGCTTTGATTAGCTTATCAGCCTTGCTGTGTTGATTGTGGTATTTCAGTAGTGAACCTTCACACACTTGTAAATAGACCTAGATCTACTACTGTTTTCATTGTTTGTCCTGGTACCTAACCTTTGAGAAACATGCACAAAAAAAATGTGGGCCGTTTCTGATTTCTCTCCCCTTGACTAGATGAAAAAAGCCAGGGTTTTTCTATGGGTAATAAATCAAACACCAAGTACCAATTAAATACTTGATACTATTGACATTGTTTCAAATCTATGTCCAAATCATGTTTTTGATTTGCTGGAACTGGTGTGCTCTATATTAATAGTCTCCCTTGCTCTGATATTATTTTAAACCAACAGACTGTTACTTTTTCATTAAGTATGCAGCAGGAAGTTTAATCCATTGATTCAATGGCAGATTTGATTCACAACTTGATTTCCCTAAGTAGCCAAAGTATTTGAATTGATGCAGTGTAGGAACATAAACATTGAATGATCTTCCTTCTTCTCTCCCCCCCACTCCTGCCCCACTTTAAATTCAATTAAAAAAAAAGTGTTAGCTTAAGAATCATGAAAGGCTGGAATTGGCTTCCTGTGAAAAAATAAACATTGCTAAAAAAAACTTCCTTAAACTTCATGCATGTTTTCCTTTTTACCCAGGTTTTTTTTTAATCCTTAGTTTTACCAGTTTTCTTTCAACTATCCCCCCTCACCTCCCCTCCTCTCCAATTAAAACTTACATTCTTTCCTCCATGCTAATAAGCAGTAGGGGAGATGACTCAAAAGCAGGGGCTGTGGAGTTTAAAAAAAAAAAAAAATCTCCCCATTGACTCATGCCCATGTGTTTCTTATAGGCACTGGAAATACCCTCAGCTCACTTTCTTTTTATAGTTTTTTTTTTTTATGGTAAGCTTACAACTGTGAACAAATGTTAGGTTAAAAAACAAGAACTTACTAGGGGTTGATTACTCACATAGAGTGACTGTTATCTCAGCCCTGGGGTTTGGTGTGCCTTATCTGTGAGTCATGGGGCCAGAAGCTGTGCACATGTGGTGTCAACTACCACTGGGAACTTTTGTTTGGGGTTTACTGGGGTGGACTCTTTCCTGATGGTATTAGTTGTCTCCCTGTTAGTAGAGTTATTGTTGTTCTCTGGCTAATGCAGTGGTCTCTCTGCTAGTAGAGTTATTGTTGTTCTCTGGCTAATGCAGTGGTCTCTCTGCTAGTAGAGTTATTGTTGTTCTCTGGCTAATGCAGTGGTCTCCCTGCTAGTAGAGTTATTGTTCTCTGGCTAATGCAGTGGTCTCCCTGCTAATGCAGTGGTCTCCCTGTTAGTAGAGTTATTGTTCTCTGGCTAATGCAGTTGTCTCCCTGTTAGTAGAGTTATTGTTCTCTGGCTAATGCAGTTGTCTCCCTGTTAGTAGAGTTATTGTTCTCTGGCTAATGCAGTTGTCTCCCTGCTAGTAGAGTTATTGTTCTCTGGCTAATGCAGTTGTCTCCCTGCTAGTAGAGTTATTGTTCTCTGGCTAATGCAGTTGTCTCCCTGTTAGTAGAGTTATTGTTGTTCTCTGGCTAATGCAGTTGTCTCCCTGTTAGTAGAGTTATTGTTCTCTGGCTAATGCAGTTGTCTCCCTGTTAGTAGAGTTATTGTTGTTCTCTGGCTAATGCAGTGGTCTCTCTGCTAGTAGAGTTATTGTTGTTCTCTGGCTAATGCAGTGGTCTCTCTGCTAGTAGAGTTATTGTTGTTCTCTGGCTAATGCAGTGGTCTCTCTGCTAGTAGAGTTATTGTTGTTCTCTGGCTAATGCAGTGGTCTCTCTGCTAGTAGAGTTATTGTTGTTCTCTGGCTAATGCAGTGGTCTCTCTGCTAGTAGAGTTATTGTTGTTCTCTGGCTAATGCAGTGGTCTCTCTGCTAGTAGAGTTATTGTTGTTCTCTGGCTAATGCAGTGGTCTCCCTGCTAATGCAGTGGTCTCCCTGTTAGTAGAGTTATTGTTGTTCTCTGGTTAATGCAACTACTGTGCATGATTTTTTTAAAATTGTCAGAGAAAAAAAGTTTTTTGGTTTATTAAGCAAGTTGTTAAAGGATAGTTTTTTAAAGGCTTCAATGTCTAGTTTTAAAAGAAAGCCAGGAAGCCAATATCTCTCTGTTGACTGAATTGAAAGTGAAAGTCATCAGTGAATGTTTCAATGTTTTTCTGTCTGGTAGAGAAGGAAGATAACTCTGTCTCACTATCATTGGTATGGTGAAAATCACAAGCTATGATAACATACTTCATAGATCAGATCAGTGGTTTCCCATTTTTTTGGTCAATCCTCCTACCTATTTAAAAAATTTAAAATTCATTTAAACATTTACATGTATTGCGACTGTATAGATGAACTAGAGGTGCATTGTTCTAGTTGTTTGCGAAGACCTGTCTTGTGTCTCTCTGTTATACTCATTTTACCTAACCAAATGTAAATAAAGCTCCACATTTTGAGATAATCTAACTGCATTTTTTAAAGCCTGTCATAAAAATCTACAAAGTGCCACACAGTATAATAATAGCTGGGATATGTTTCTGCTGTTTAAAAAAGTGCTGATGTTGACATGTTAGATCTTATCTTCTGACACTTTTTCTGTCTGTGTTATTACATGCACTTGTCTCTGGGTTTTTTTATATGAGAAATGTTGTTATCAGGGCTTAACCTTTTTTCTTATGGTAACTTTGGTCTTATGGTGAGAGAGGTGCTTGCGATATGATGTATTATGATTTCTTTTTGTAAGGGGTGGTTGGTGGGTCTATATATTATACAGTTTTGTTGTGAGAGAGGTGCTTGCTATATATGATTTCTTATGGTGTAGGGGATTTATATATAGTGTATAATTGGGTGGGTGGTATGTTATGCTGTATACTTTTTTCTTATTGTGAGAGAGGAGGGGGGGGGTGTCTGGTATTCTGTATAGTCCATCCACTTAACTTGCACAGGAAGTTTATTTTACATTTTTTTAGTAAGTGGCAGTATATGTGGAGTATTTTGAATAGTAAATAAACATTAGTGAGTCGACCAGACTCATAGCTAATGTAAAAACAACACACAGCCAATACAATTAACACCATTGTCATGTCTACTGTACTGGGCTAATTGTGGGGATTTCTTTCTACTAGACCTGTGGCTAATTTTAGCTTTAACACATTTTTTTTCTATCAGTCTGGCCAACACTTTTTTATGTCTTATTTTTATGGTCCTATATCCAATGCTTAATCATCTTTAGAATTTTAATTCAAAATTATCTTACATTAATCAATATTTTTATTAGGAGTGTCTTACTTTGTCCAATATATTCATTATGAGTCTTACTTTGTTCAGTATATTCATTATGATAGTCATAATTTGTCATATTTCCTTATAATTTTCAGGGTAAAGTTTTCATTCATGTTTGTCATACTTTGACAAATGTTATTACAAAGGTTTAATGTAAGTCTTCCTTTGTTGATTAGTTTGTTACAAAGTCCTGTATATCCTCATTCTTTTTTCTTCCCACAGCTTGACGAAGATGGCAATGGAAAAATTTCCCTGGCAGAGCTGGGCTATGCCCTGGAGACAGTGGGCATCAAGGTGCCAGGATACGAGCTGCGACAGATCATGGCCAGCTTTGATACCTCAGGGGATGGGTTCATTGACATGGAAGAGTTCAAGAGTGTAAGTCCCATGCTAGTTTTTTTTATATTGCCCCACATTACTTTTGTAAGGATACTTTAGGTTTGCTGCAAGTATAATCTAGTGGAATCAGCATTATCACTCACTCGTTTTCAATGAAATTTGATTATTATTTTATTAATTTAATACATTTAGCAAATAATTTCTAACACTGTTTTAACTTTTAATAAGATTTAAATTGTAAGTTTATATATAAAAAAACTAAATGGTAACTTAATTATTTCTTGATTAACATTGGTGCAATTAGCTGCGTGCACCATGTTGTTTATGTTATGTTTACAAGTTTTACTCTAAACATCATTCAGCTGTACACATCAGAAAAGTCCAAACGTGACATTGGTGTGACCTTCAAGAAGGTGGTCCAGGCAAGAAAAGATGTGAACACACTTGGAGGAACCAGCCAGGCCTCTGTTGAAGGAACTACCCACACGGTCAGGAAAGCTGAGACAGCTGCCTTCTCACAGTGGATCAACAGGTCAGTCTTCTAACATGTCTGACACATGTGCTGGATCTTGGTCATCTGTCACATGTGCTGGATGTTGGTCATCTGACACATCTGCATGATCTTGGTTTTCTAACAATGTGCTGGATCTAATACAGTTAATCTGATAGAATTTACAAGACAAAGTAAAAAAAAACAAACAACTCCCTCAGAGCTGAATAAAGGGGTTGGCGTGGTCGAGTCGGTTACGCTCATGGTTGCTAAACCGATAAGTCTCGAGTTCGAACCCTAGGGTAGATGAGGCTCGTTTGCTAAGGACAGCCATTCTTCTAGGAGAGACAACTCCAAAATCAAATAACTGCTGCCTTGTAGATTGTTCTTGGTTGGACAAAGGCTATGGAAGCAAATCCAAAAAGAAAAGCAGGCTGAAATTGGAGTCAATGGTCTCAATGGCGCATAACCAGTTGACACGTAGCGCTTAATTGTGTTGGAGGCGTGGTCGAGTCGGCAAAAGCTCATGGTTGATAAATTCGAAAAAGTCTCGAGTTCAAACTCTCTGGTAGATAAGTCCTAAAAATGAAGAACGAAGAAGAAGAAGAGCTGAATGTTCATGGGATAGATGAAGCTTTTTCACTAGTGTCTGCACTTTGACAAATGTAGGGGTTGTGTAGCCAGTCCTCTTTCAGAGCCTGTTTGATTCTATGATCTACATCCTAAGGATTTATAAACTAACGTAAACATACAGCACTCTTCGTGCATTGTGGTCGGTCAGATGAATAAAGCTCACCTGGTGCTACTTAATGTGTGATCCTCCCATAACATTTTCCTATGCCATTCCTTTTCAACTTGCATCAGCTATTCTTTAAGTTTAATGAGCTTAAAAGACCTATAAGATATGATCTGTAGTTTTTGGGGGTTTAAAATTGTGCACTCTATTGTATGACGTCATTGACTATATCATAGTGATAATATTGTTAAAAAGATCATTAATTTTTTTTTCCAGTAATTTGAAAGATGATCCAGATTGTGCCCCTTTGTTGCCTGTAGATAGTGAAAATAATGAATTGTTTGAAAAATGCAAAACTGGAATTATTTTATGGTAAGTTTGTTTCTCTGTGTATATTAAAGACAGTAATTTTTAAGTGTTGAAAACCAAGCTTATTTCTATTATGTTTTCCATGTTTTTTTTTTCTACTTAGAGTAAATATCTAGCTTGTGCATTAGACAATCACTGAATCAAGTCATCCCACTTGTACTAGCCCTTGGCGATCTATCAGAAAGTTAATGAAAGTTTCTCTAAAGAGTACAACTCCTTATTTGAACATGTTAGCACAACACTATGACAGTTTTTATTTCCCTTTAGCAACTTCATGTCGAATGGTCAAACAAAACATTGTTGTATAATTTTTATATATTTTCTATTACAAAATTGTTTATTACGTTAGTGGTTAGCCAAATTTGTGTTGTAAATATTGCTGTTAACAATGTTTTAACGCTCTGGGATAAGATTAGGGTTAGCTATCAGGGTTGATGAACCATGTAGGCCCCACATAATAAATGAGAATTACGTTTATTGACAAAGTGAAATTTTGTATAAACTTTTGTATAAACTTACTAAAGAGTAAAACTTATTTTAGGTTAACTTATTAGCAAATCAGCCCCCCTCTACCAAAGTAAAAACATGTCTTTCAGTAATCAAGTCAACTCCCTCCACCATTGTGTAAACTTTTGTTTATTTCAGTAAACTTATTAACAAGTCAACTCCCTCTGCCATTGTGTAAACTTTTGTCTATTTCAGTAAACTTATTAACAAGTCAACTCCCTCCACCATTGTGTAAACTTTTGTTTATTTCAGTAAACTTATTAACAAGTCAACTCCCTCCACCATTGTGTAAACTTTTGTTTATTTCAGTAAACTTATTAACAAGTCAACTCCCTCCACCATTGTGTAAACTTTTGTTTATTTCAGTAAACTTATTAACAAGTCAACTCCCTCTGCCATTGTGTAAACTTTTGTCTATTTCAGTAAACTTATCAACAAGTCAACTCCCTCCACCATTGTGTAAACTTTTGTTTATTTCAGTAAACTTATTAACAAGTCAACTCCCTCCACCATTGTGTAAACTTTTGTTTATTTCAGTAAACTTATCAACAAGTCAACTCCCTCCACCATTGTGTAAACTTTTGTTTATTTCAGTAAACTTATTAACAAGTCAACTCCCTCCACCATTGTGTAAACTTTTGTTTATTTCAGTAAACTTATTAACAAGTCAACTCCCTCCACCATTGTGTAAACTTTTGTTTATTTCAGTAAACTTATTAACAAGTCAACTCCCTCCACCATTGTGTAAACTTTTGTTTATTTCAGTAAACTTATTAACAAGTCAACTCCCTCCACCATTGTGTAAACTTTTGTTTATTTCAGTAAACTTATTAACAAATCAACTCCCTCCACCATTGTGTAAACTTTTGTTTATTTCAGTAAACTTATTAACAAGTCAGCCCCCTCCACCATTGTGTAAACTTTTGTTTATTTCAGTAAACTTATTAACAAGTCAACTCCCTCCACCATTGTGTAAACTTTTGTTTATTTCAGTAAACTTATTAACAAGTCAACTCCCTCCACCATTGTGTAAACTTTTGTTTATTTCAGTAAACTTATTAACAAGTCAACTCCCTCCACCATTGTGTAAACTTTTGTTTATTTCAGTAAACTTATTAACAAGTCAACTCCCTCCACCATTGTGTAAACTTTTGTTTATTTCAGTAAACTTATTAACAAGTCAGCCCCCTCCACCATTGACGAGAGGACAATCAACAAAACAAACTTGTCAGTATACAGGCGCCATGAGAACCTTACACTAGCTATAAACTCTGCCCAGGCTATTGGTTGTTCTACAGTCAACATTGGGCCTGATGATCTGGATACTGGCAAACCTCATTTGGTTCTTGGTTTGTTGTGGCAGATCATTAGGGTAAGGAACACGTTTGATTATTTGGGTAGGGTACAGGTTTAATTATTTGGTTAAGGTACAGGTTGAATTTATTGGGTAGGGAACAGGTTTAATTATTTGGGTAGGGAGCAGGTTTGATTATTTGGGTAGGGTACAGGTTTAATTATTTGGTTAAGGTACAGGTTTAATTATTTGGGTAGGGAACAGGTTTTATTATTTGGTTAAGGTACAGGTTTAATTATTTGGGTAGGGAACAGGTTTAATTATTTGGGTAGGGAGCAGGTTTAATTATTGGGTAAGGAAGAGGTTTAATTATTTGGGTTAAGGAAAAGATTAAATGATCATAAGTAAAATGTTTATTTATCAGGGTAAGGAAAAGGTCACATTATCATGATTAGAAACTTTAAATTTGCCGGTTGTTTAGTAACCATAAATTATCAGGGTAAGAAAAAAGCCGGTGGGAAATAAATCTTTATTTAAAACATCCCATACTAATTGCTTAGGAAAAAAAATGCTGAATTGACTTTTTGAAACAAGAATACTTTTATATTGTTTTGTAATGTACTGTATGTGATTCACACAAGTATTTAGTTATATATCTTAAACAATAACATAATATTAAAACAAAGGGCAGGGTTTTGAACCCAGTAGTTATAGTTTATGGTTGTTTTATGCCCTCTACCAGTTGACCATCTCTCCTCTCTTTTGTTCCTGAAACCTGTTCAACTCCAAATGACAATATGTGGATAGACTTGTGAAATATATTTCAGATATTTTATTTGACAGATTGGGTTGTGAATGAGATATTTTGACAGATTGGGTTGTGATGAGACATGATTGTGATTGAGTTATTTAATTTGACAGATTGGGTTGTGATTGTGATATTTAATTTGACAGATTGGATTGTGATTGAGACATGATTGTGATATTTAATTTGACAGATTGGGTTGTGATTGAGACATGATTGTGATTGAGATATTTAATTTGACAGATTGGATTGTGATTGAGACATGATTGTGATATTTAATTTGACAGATTGGGTTGTGATTGAGACATGATTGTGATATTTTCTTTGACAGATTGGGTTACTCAGTGACATCAACCTGGCCCACCACCCAGGCCTTATCCACCTCCTGGAGGAGGGTGAGACGCTGGAGGACCTGCAGAAGCTGACCCCTGAACAAATCCTGCTGCGATGGGTCAACTACCACCTGCGCAACGCTGGCACCAACACTCGCATCAAGAACTTCTCTGAAGACATTAAAGTAAGCTTTTCCTGTGGGAGACATTTTTCACATAACTATGTTCATCATTTCTTCTCTTTTACTTATACTTAAAAGTCTAAATGATTTCACAATTTTATAATAATAGAATATGTTGTTAATGTCAAATTAAAATTATGAATAAATAATGAAGCAATGTATGCTATCGCCAATGATATTCTTGATGGTGATCGACTGGATCATGCTGAGGGACACAAAAAACGACACAGGAATCCAGTGGAGTTTCACAAAAAGGTTGGAGGATCTTGATTTTGCCGATGACATCTGCCTACTATCTCATAGGCATCAACACACGCAAGCCAAACTAAATCGGCTGTCTGAAGAAGCCTCCAAAATTGGACTAAAAATCAATAAAAACAAAACAGAGGTCATCAGAATCAGTAACAGCCAAGACCTGCCCATACAGCTAAATGGAGAAGATTTACGTGAAACAAACACATTCACATATCTGGGAAGGGTGATCAACAAGGACGGGGGAGCAGACGAGGACATAAAATGCCGTATCAACAAGGCTAGATGTGCCTTCAACTCACTGCGCCCGATGTGGAGGTGCACGGCCCTGTCATTCTGGAGCAAAATTGGAATTTTCAACACAAATGTTAAGGCAGTGCTACTCTATGGCTCGGAGACCTGGAGGGTTACAAAGACAAATACTGATAGGCTACAGGCGTTCGTAAACAAATGCTTACTACATATACTCAAAATAAGATGGCCAGACAAAATATCAAACAAAGACCTGTGGCAAATTTTAAAACAACAGCCAATAGAGAATGATATTAAGGCCCGAAAATGGGGATGGATCGGACACACGTTAAAAAAAGAAAAAGAAAACATCGCAAAACATGCATTGGACTGGAATCCCCAGGGGAAAAGGAGGGTGGGCTTGCCAAGGAAAACATGGAAGAGAACGGTTGAGGAGGAGGCGAAAACAGCTGGGCTCTCATGGGCACAGATTAGAGGAGCAGCCCAAAACCGAGTCTGCTGGATATGTGTGGTTGCAGCCCTTTGCTCCCCAGGGGCCAAAAAGGAGTGATGATGATGATGATGAATGAAGCAATGATGATATCTAGAAAGCACACAATTTTGATGGTTTGGTTGCCAAGTTAACACAGATCACTAAAGCCTAAGCAATAATACTTAAAACAAAATGTTGAGATTTAATGTGTACATTTTCTATCAACAGGACTCTGAAGCTTACACATACCTACTACATCAGATAGCACCAAGAGAAAATGGAGTTGATCTCTCACCATTAGGAGTAAGTTATTTTTTTTTATCAGAATTTAAAATTGTATAAAATCTGGGTAGCTTAAAGAGTTGTGGGGAGGGAGGAGGAGGAGAATGTCTAGATAATTAATGGAGAATGTACTGTACTGGGAATAAATGTTAAAAGTTTCCATGTTTTATTTATAAATACATTTTCAAAGACTTGCAACCTACTGAATTTTTTACATCTAGAATCTACTAATAAAATAAATGAAGTTTTATATAAAATTATTTTCATTTATTTTTACCTCTTGAAACTATGAATTTTTTTGTATCAAGAAGCAATGAATTTTTGTATTATGAAGCCATGAGTTTTTATAACAAGGAAGTAGATACTTTTTCCATTAAAATACAATTCGCTTAAAGTGATTCTTACGTCTTTAATCCCACCCAGATAAGTGACAGATACCAGAGGGCCGAGGCTATGCTGAGAGAAGCCAACAAGATTGGATGCCGGTCATTCGTTGGACCCAATGACGTCATCGAGGGAAATGCCAAACTTAATTTAGCCTTTGTGGCCAATCTTTTCAACAACTTCCCAGCTTTGGAAGGGGTGGATGAGAACATTGAACTCAATATCCACGAGGAGACGAGAGAAGAAAAAAGTTAGTTACTTGTTTAATTTTTATACACATTACATTCTAGTTTTTTTTATCAAGAATTTTTTATCTGAAATGTCTAAAAAAATTAGCATTACCAAAAACATATTCAGGGAAATATGAAGGAAAAATATTTTGAGTCTTTTAAAAATTAAGTTTTTCAGTTTTGTACCTAAATCTTTCTCTTAACCTTGCAACTTACTCTAACTGGATAGTCTTTTAAAATTAAAATTTTCATGTTTGTATCTAAATCTTTCTCTCAACCTTTCAGCTTACCGTAACTGGATGAACAGCATGGGTGTGTCCCCATATGTGCACTACATCTATAATGATTTGATTGACGGGCTGATAATCTTCCAGCTGTATGATGTGTGTAAGCCAGGAGTGGTAGACTGGAACAAGGTCCACAGGAAGTTCAACAAGCTCAAGGCCAACTTTGAGAAAATTGGTCAGTTTTTCTTTGGCATTTTCAATCAAAAAGCTTTGTTAAGAAATTGTTTTCTTTATTAATTTAAAATTTTTAAACAAAATATTTGTCATAAATTCTGGGTTGTTACTGTAATGCAGTATGGGACGTAGTGGTCTAGCGGTAGAGAGCTGGACTGCTAACCCGTAAGTCTCGAGTTCGAATCAGAATTCATGTCAGTAGACCGTCCCTGAGTCCACCCAACTCTGATGGGTACCTAATTCGCCTTAGGGAAAGTAAAGACAGCTGGACATAGTGCTGACCACACTATCTCTTCATATGCCGAGGTCTCAGAAACAAGTGAGCTCTACTTCACTTGCCTCATTGACCGTCAGGTTTGAAAAGGGAAACTTCACTTTAATGCTGAGATAATAAGAAACATTTTTTTGATTTATAAATAATTTCATAATTTCATGATGATAATTAAACTGATTATAAAACAAATAAGTATAGTGAAAAGACCTGGAAGATTTGGTTTCTGATGATGTTGTTTTTCTTTAAATTTGAAACAACCACATTTCAAGTTTTTTTATTTTCTTCCATCCAGAAAATTGCAATTATGCGTGCGAGTTAGGCCACAAGTTGGACTTCTCTCTTGTTGGTGTGGGTGGTAAGGACATTCATGATGGCAATCAGACTTTGACATTAGGTATGTATTCTGGGCTACGGTTTTATCTTACATAAAGGTTTATACATGACATAAAATTCGCTGTTCTGAAGAAATAAATATCGTCTTTGATGATTGGAATTTTTATAGAGATGGTTGTTTGGTTTTCCAAGAGCAGAAAGATAGATATAAAACACACAAATGGCACAAATTTGAAGTGAATTGTTGAAGAAATAAATTTTGAAAGCATAGAAATAAGCCTCAGCATAGCACAGTCTTTTATAAAGATTATAATTGCATTAAACAGTATGTTAATTGTTAGGACTATTCAAAAATTATTTTTCAAATTTAAATCTAGTAGAATCGCATAACAAAAATGTTTTTCCTAAAATAATTTAGTTTTGTTTTTCTTTCAGCTTTGATTTGGCAGTTGATGAGGGCCTACACAATTTCTGTTCTCAGTGGTCTTTCAGCAGACACCAATAACAAGAATGCTGAGAAGTTGATCTTAGAGTGGGCAAACACCAGGGTAGGTGTATGTTCTTAGAGTGGGCAAAATACCAGGATAGGTGTATGTTCTTAAAGTGGGCAAAATACCAGAGTAGGTGTGTTTTTAAAGTGGGCAAAATACCAGGATAGGTGTATGTTTTTAAAGTGGGCAAAATACCAGGATAGGTGTATGTTTTTAAAGTGGGCATATCCCAGGTTAGGTGTATGTTCTTAAAGTGAGCAAAATACCAGTGTAGGTGTATGTTCTTAAAGTGGGCAAAATACCAGGGTAGGTGTATGTTTTCAAAGTGGGTTAATATCAGGAAAGGTGTAGATATATTCTAAAAGTGGGCAAATACCAGGTTAGATGTTCTTAAGGTGGGCAAATACTAAAGTAGGGGTATGTTCTTAGAGCTAGCATCTGTTGTGGTACACCCCAGCTTTTAAATAATAAAAGATGTGCATAGATTTAAAAAAAAAATCCTCCTATATTGTACTGAATGCACCAATGTTTTTTCCAGCTGGACAAGAGTGCCAAGTTCTCTAGTTTTGGAGACCAGAACTTGTCAGACAGCATCATCCTCATCAAGTTGATTGAGAAGATCAAGCCCTCAGCTGTTGACTGGAAGTGTGTGCTGCAGGATGCCCCAACATTTGAGGTATCTTATTCATTATTTTTTTTTTTTTTGTGAAGTATTTTTTTAAAAATATTCTCACATTTTGAGTTAGTTCATTTGAGTTAGTTTTTACTTTGACATTTTTTCTCTCAATTTATCAGTCAAACTGCCTCAACTTTAGGAAAAATACTTTTCTGTGATCACTTTAAATTAATAGATTGTTCATCCATGTTATAAAATTGTTTAAACTTAATAAGAAGTTTTTTAGGTAATTTATAAAAGTCTGCATTAAAACTATTTTAATGACTAGTTGAACAATTAAAATTTAACATTTGAATACATTAAAATATCAACGTGTAACTCCCAGGACTCTTTATATATTCATTATCCCAATCCTTAGGGAAGGGGCGCTACTCTTTAAAATACTGCTTTAATATGGACAACATATTTAATAAAATATAAGAGATCTTTATTTCATATAGTTACGCAAAAAAAAAAATTGATTCACAATTATACAGATGGCAAACAGATTTCCTAATGACTAACTAAACAGAACACTATTACTAATATTTGAGATTTTTTTATAAAAAAAATATAAATATTATTACTATTTATATCTATTTGAATTTTACACCTTGCTATTATTTTTTTTATATTAAATGAACTAAAAAATGATGCAGATACTGCAAGAATGATAAAATGTTTTTAAAAATCTCATGTATGTACAATTTTGCTTGCTAAAAGTATGTTTAAAAGTTAGTTTTCCATTTGTTTTGGCTTCGGAATTTTAAAATAAATAGTTCTTAAAATGAACAAAATAGCGATGCTGGCGAAATCAGACATGGGACAGTAGAGACAGTGTTTAGCTACTTTGGGAGTTGAGTGTTTTAAAAAATTTAAATAATTTGAATGACAGAACCTAGCAGTTGGTATTTTTATTTACATTTCTCTCTATTTTATTTTTTAAAAAAAGGACAAACTGGCCAATGCCAGATATGCTATTGGCATTGCCAGGAAGGTTGGCGCTAAGGTGTACGCCCTCCCGGAGGACATTGTTGAAGTCAAGCAGAAAATGGTGATGACCATCTTTGCGTGTCTAATGGCCAGGGACTACAGCCAGAACGGCCAAGGGTTGACTGAGACACACCAGGCCAAGTAAAACTGGGCCACCTGGCCGTGGATGGAGAGCGTGTCAGCCTGAATGTGTGCACATTTTTACTTCACATTTTTATTTGACGAAACGAACAAAAAAACTAAAAAATGGAACTAGTAAATAATCGTGTAAAGTAATGCGTTGTTGTAAATGTAAACTACCTGTACACATGTTGGTATTCTACTTTTTATGAGTATATGAAGCAATGTTGACATGGCTTTGATAATTGCTCTGTTGCCTACCCTGTCACTTGTACAAGTCAGCCACACACACACCCCACTACCCAGATGTTAGTGTCATATTTTTTTGTTGTTGCTGTATGTTATCCCAGATCTCTAAAAACTAGAAACATGATCTTGCTTGTTCCAATGGATGAATCAATGAATGTTCAGCTTCTAGCTATAGTTATAACCTTTTCTATATCAACCTGCTTAACTCCCCTTCTTCAGCTAAGTGGAAAGAAATATTCATTCCTGGAATTTAATTTTTTTTTGGTACTTACTATTTACATTTCTCTTTTTATTGAAAATAAATTAAGAATGATTTGAATATTTTTCTTGCTTCTGGCATAGTCGATTTATGCCAGAAAATTTTGGAAATTTTTTCTGCATGAGACATTCCACCCTGTTTACTATCGCACTGGTTGCTTTTTGTGACTGCAGTATTAATGCCAGAACAACTGGTGAGGCAGACAGTAACAGAGATATTCCCCTAAAGTGCTTAATGTCTGTACGCCCTGGTTATAGATTAAGACTAGTTTTAAGTAAAAGAATGGACATTTTCTTGTAAGAATATTTCTGTGTATTTTAACAATTCCAACTGATTTTTGGGACCATTCTGTACATTGAAGTTTTTTTTTAAGAAACACTTTTTTAAAGCTTTTACTGTAAGCAATGACTTTTTCCCAGCTGTTTTTGTAAATGTTAAAGCAAATAAAAATCATGTTATTTTTTTTTTTAAATTTGTTTTGTGATGCGCCAACTATAGTGAAACTAAAACAATGGAATTTTCCAGACAATTTTGATCACGTAATTATGAAGTTGTCTAACGAGTTAGAGAAAAAAACGATTTTAATGTAAATGTTTTTTGCCATATTTTATCAACGTAGGATGTGCATGTTTTAGGACAATTAGTCTCATTAGCAACTAATTGGGGTAATTAGCTCAACCTGTTTTATTTATCACTTATTAGACTAGTAATTTATTGAGTCAGTGAAATAATTTTTCAAACTGAATTCGTCTTTACTCTAAATTTCTTGTTAGCTGAATTGATGTAGTAGTTTGTTTCTCCCTAAACAATGAGCTGTTGAAGAAATGTTTAGAAGGTGTTGACTGGTTTTAATTTTTAATTAATTGCTTCATTGGTTTGTTGATTGCTTTTACACAGTGAAACTTGTTAATGTTTTTATAACTAGTGAATGACCAGTTTTGTTAATATTTTATGGATTTTCTTTAATGAGTATATGTTATATGATTAGAAAATGCCCTGTTTTTTTATTTTTACTTTAGAAAAAGATGTGGATTGTTAATATTATATGACCAGAAAATGACCTGAATAAGTTTGATAATGTTTTATGGATAGCAAATGACCTGGACTTTTAGTTGACCCAGGGTGGGTGGTTCTGTATATGTAGTTACACTTAATGATTATGCAACAATTTTTGTTTGATATATCACTAACTCTGAATGTATCACGCTGGGTACCCTCGCCTAGTGTTTCTTTACTTTTTTTTATCTGGGCACATTTTGCTAATTGTCCCTAATATGTATTTCAGTGCTATAATAATTTCATCAAGTATTTATTTTCTCATTATATATGAATATACATATACATCCATATATTTTTAAAAAAGTTTTAAATGGGCTACAAAGTGAAACTGTGCTTGACTTAGTTGTTGCCTTGGATACCATCTCCCAGCATGCAATGAATAACATATCAGAGATTCTTGTCTAATGGAAAACATTCTCTACTGTGATGCCTTATACAATTTTTCTTTATATCCTCATTGCTTTGTCTAGTAGAGAGCTGTTTTTTGGAAGGGCATACAACTTTGTAAGATTTACAATCTTAAAACAAATTATTTTTAAAAATGTTTGGTCTGGCCTTAGGGTATGTTTAACCATTGTGTTGCTCTAGAGATACTTAAGAATAGATACCAAAACTTTATTAACCTTTTTTTAAAAAAAAAAATCAGTTGTCATTAATTAATCTTAGATTATTTTACATTCATAATTTCATCATAATAAACACGAATAAATTATATCAATTTATTTTATCGACCTTGGTTTGGATTTTTTAAAATAATTTTTTTTGTCTTTAATATTATATTGGTAATAACCTGTAACAATAATAAGTAGACATTTGAAATAACATTGACATATGTATTGAACAATTGTTTCATTACATACTAAATGGTGGTCTATAAGGTTAACAACACAACAGTGGTAGCTATTGACTAATGCGGATAGTCACCATCCATCAAGTAGCTATTGACTAACGTGGATACAGTCACCATCCATCAAGTAGCTATTGACTAACGTGGATACAGTCACCATCCATCAAGTAGCTATTGACTAACGTGGATACAGTCACCATCCATTAGGTAGCTATTAACTAACGTGGATACAGTCAACATCCAACACGTGATCCATGGTCAAAGTTGACTTCATCTCTCATATCATAATCGCTGCTTTACATCGTTTAACACTAGCTTACCTTTACATATAACACCCACACCATACATAACACTAGCTGACCTCTATATATAACACCCATACCATACGTAACACTAGGTGACCAACAGTCATTTGTATATAACACCACACCATACATAACACTATCTGACCAGCACTCCTTTATATAAAACACCCCCATATCAATCCATAACCCTAGCTGACCAGCAGTCGTTTATATATAACACTAGCACCCCTTTATATAACTCTCCCCCTAGCATACATTTTGTAGACCTCATGATCCGCTCCAGTAGCCTGTCTGTTGCCTTGCTGGTATACACAACTGAAATCAAATTTAAAAAACCATACGCCCTATCACAACTCATAATAAACCTAAACACTAAACACCCAAACTTATTAAACTATATTAACCAGAGTTGAACAACGTAATATGGTAGGAAGCGGAACATTGTGTACTTTAGCATAACTAGATCGGGTGAAAATCTGGGTGTTCCCCACCTCTTGGATAACTTGTCATACTTATTGGTGTATTTTAGCTGTTTCCTATTTCAGATTTCGTTTTTCGTGTTAATGTTACGCTCCCCGCCTACTTGATGATTGATATCAATCTTAACTGGTTGGTAATTGAATCAATTTGACAAAGCATTGTCTTCTCAGTACATTTCGCTGGGCGCCTTGAGTATACTGGATGGGGTCTAGGATGATACGCCGCTGAAGGTTTGTTTCTAGAAAATTAATACACCCGCGGGGCAGTTATCTCATTCACAAATCCTAGCTACATCACGTCGTCGTTGAATTCTAACCCGTGTTTGGACCAATCGTTTCATCCGTTTCATCATCTACCCAGCGTCTTGACCAATCGTTTCTTCATCTACTCAGTGTCTTGACCAATCGTTTCATCCGTTTCATCCTCTACCCCGTGTCTTGACCAATCGCTTCATCCGTTTCATCATCTACCCAGTGTTTTGACCAATAGTTTCATCTGTTTTAAAATCTACCAGTGTCTTGACCAATCGATTCATCTGTTTCATCCTCTACCCCGTGTCTTGACCAATCGATTCATCTGTTTCATCATCTCGAACACCCCCTCTCCGCTCTTCGCCGACACGCCAATCAGGTGCCACAGGCGGTCATTGACCTTGGACAGGTCAAGCTTCTCAGCGACCTGACCAATGGTCAAGGCACCGGTTAGATCCTGTTTATTAGCCACCACGACCAGCGGCACACCGTGAAGTTGTGGAGCCAGTAGGATTTGATCCAGCGCCTCGGATGCTTCCGTCAGTCTCTTGACATCGGTGCTGTCTACTACAAAGAAAAGTCCCTGTCGAGGTAGTAAACACACGGATACATTTAATTACATAAGAAAAGAAGTTCTTATCGAATAGCGCTACATACATTCTTAATAAGCGTGAAAATTACGATACAAATTATTAGGAGTAAGAGATTGTTAGGTTTTGGGTTAAAGAATCGATGGCGGCGATAATAACTGGACATAGATCAATATGAATATCCTAGACCCAGGAATGGATGGTCAATAAGAGCAGAAAGAAAATTTTAATTAAAAACCTACTTTACATTAAAGCCTTCCATCCTCACCCCTCATTTAACACATCTCTCAGTAGTTTTTCATGCAATTTTAGCCGTTTTTTTTTAAAATAATAAAAACAACCTCTAGAATATCCTATCTATAGTCAAAGAAATTCATGCTACCATTCCTGAAGTTACGTTACAAAGTTCCACCCCCACAAAGTAACAATCAATAATGAACAAAAAAAAAAGAATGTTTTTATTTCTAATGAAATAACATTGAAGGCCTACATAATTTTTTACCCCCCCCCCCACACACACTTCATAAGTGCGTAACGTATTTTGTTGACTATCTTATAGCCTTATCTGACGGAAAATTACAGTCTCTTAATAAGTTATGTCAAACGCTGAGAAAGTTATACGAAACTTTCTTTACAAAAAAGAAACAAAAAAAAAACAAAAAAAACAAAAACAACTACTTAGCCAGCCTTCAAAGATATCTAATCTCAATTGCGACCCAGAACTTAAATAAAAAACAAAGGCAATAGTCTGAACATGAAGAAACTTTGCGTAAATAATTCATTACTTTCTTAATTGATTGGATAATTAAGTTTAAAGTCAACAAAGAAAAGAACGAAATTGAATAGGAGTGTAACTTATTAAAGTTGATGTTGATCTCAATCTGCGCAAACAATCTGCGCAAACAATTTATAATTAATATAATATTAATCATTTGAAAAAAAAAAGGAAATATTTATCTGGCATACGTCTGTGTTTTCGTAGTAATTTTTCCAAAATGGTCGAAGTTTTTCCTGGCCACCTACATCCCACACAGTGAATGTAACTCCTTTGGACGGTTGGACATTTTCCACGTTAAAACCAAGGGTGGAGATGTGGTTTAGATTTTCACATTGTTTGGCCTAAAAAATAATAATAATTAACCTGCTTAATAAGTATTGACTTAAATGTTTTCTCGAAAAAAATTAATATAAAGAAAAAAAAAAGAAAAACAGTTTTATATAGTTTGGTGGAACGTTTCTTTCAGGCATCTTCGCCTTGAAATTTAACTTCGCCTCCCTCAAACCCCCCCCCCCCAAGTTTCAAAGGCACCGACGGAGAACTTGTCTGAAAGAAACACTAGTTTGGTGTGCAAAAGAAAAACATTTTAAACAAACACAGCAACATACAGTTTTTAAACACGTAACGGAGTAATAAATACTGCTTAAAATCTAAGATTTTAATTTTCTTTATTCTTACTGAACGAACAAAGGAACTAAGAAAAAGTTTACAAATGATGTTTCAAGCTTCGAGTATGTTCTTTTTGTATAGCCTATATATATATATATATATATATATATATATATATATATATATATATATATATATATATATATATATATATATATATATATATATGGGGGGATGTGTGTTTGTAAAATTGATAATGCATCTGTTTAATCACACACTTTGATTGTCTAATCGTCACTGTATAATCTACAGGAACCAACTGGACAGTGGTCAGATCAAACTTGTAGTCCGACATTGTTGAACCTACTGGACAGTGGTCAGATCAAACTTCTAGTCCAACATTGTTGAACCAAGACAGTGGTCTTCAACTCATTCTACGTTTCTCTACCCAAAATAAACGTCTGCACACGTAAGGATGGAGAAAAAAATGTATTTCACTTATACCGCGTCTACTCTAAATTAAACTTTGAACCAATGTTGGAATCTCACCAACAAGAAGTGTGTTACGTAATAATTGGCGAGATCCCAAATTCGATTTGAACTTTGCCAGTTCATACTTCCACCAGGAAGGTTAACTTTCAAATGAGGCAATTTTTTTTTACTTGATTGTCAGCTGTAATTAGGTAGTTAATTACTTGGCAATTTCGACATGTTAAGTTTAAAGGCGTCAAAGGGGGCGTTTTCAAACGGCGCTACATTGATAGAGTGGTTGGGGGAGGGGAAGGGGAGGCAAAGGTAAAGAAATAGGTCATAACATATGATTTTTTAAAGTATTGCCACAAAAGGATTTAAACAAACGAAATTTAAATCAACTTTTAAAACGCGTCTGTGATGAAATCGAGTAGATTTCTTACAAAGATAATTTTGTACACTCTATTAGCCTTGAACATGAATCACTGGCATTTTTTGACATATTATTTAACTAATATCTCTACAAATATAAACTTCATATAAAATTTAAAGTAAACAAACATAAGGTAGAAGGTAGAAGAGTTTAAACAACATCAAGAGCAGAAACACAAAATAACAGCAATACTCAACGACAAAAAAAATAAAATAACAACAACAAAAAATAAACAAATAACAACAAATATATATATATATATATATATATATATATATATATATATATATATATATATATATATATATATATATATATATATATATATATATATATAAACAACAGAAGGAACTAAAACAGTGTAGCCGTACCTTATACAATAAACTTGTTTTCCCAGCTCCGTCTAATCCTAAAATAAGAATTCTTGTGCGCGGGGCGGTGTGAAAAATCGGCAGCGGTACGATAGCGTGAAGCCTCGCTTCAAGATTCCCCATCACTTAGCTGTTGTAAGGCAAGACTTCAGTGGTAGCACTTGATATGGTGGTACTTGATATGGTGGTACTTGATATGGTAGAGCGTGATAAACACCAATGTGGTGACACTCATCACCATGAGCACGACAACAACGCAGCAACCACTGTTTAAACCGTGATGTGAATGTTATCACAAGAAGACAACAACTCTACGTTAGACTTACAAACAAGAATGTAGACTCGAGTGTGTTGTAGATGTGCTGGTGTAGAACTGGTTCTTCCGCCGATCCTCACCCGCTAACAACCTCTGTCATTAAGCACTTGAAGACACTTAATTAATTTTTGACACAACCGGTTAATGGAGAATGGATGTTTAATTGCTTGTTACGTGTAGCTGAATCATAACGTAACTAATTAATTACATAAGTAGGTTTAAAAAACAATTAAAAGGAAAAGAGTTTATATAGTATAGTCGTTGTATTTTGTGTTGTATTATTACATTCCTTTTGTGTGGAAAAAAAAGTGTGTAGTGTTTATAACGAAGATGAGTATTAAATAATCGGAAATTCCCGTAAGTTCTATTTTTGTGTGCGTAGGGGAGAGTATCTAACGCGGAGATAAGTAGCAACAACAATAAAGGACAAACGTTTGTTGAAGATAAAATATCACTTGAACGGACCATAGGTGTATAAGCATACAGTGGCGTCACTAGGTCGGGTGTCACCGGGTGCAGTAACTGAGGGTGTCACCCCCACCCCATCAAACGATTTTGCATTTTTGGTTTGGTGTCACCCCTCTCCTTTTTTAAAAATCTTAACTGGTTAAAGTATTGTTTTGAAAGTAAATTGTCCCATTTTTTTTTCACGTGGTGTGACCCCTCCCCCAAATGGTGTTTCCGGGTTTCCCTTTTTGGCCTTTACTAGTATTTCGATTAGGCATGATCTTCTGTTAGGCCAGTGACAGTTCTTATGTTAGTGCAACGAAATATGGCTCTTTAGCTTAATCTTCCTGAAATTATATCGACGAATAAATATCTTAATTTACCTAAAATTAGATCGAGGATTAAATATCTCAATTTACCTAACATTAGACCGACGATAAAATACCTTAATTTACCAAAAATTAGACCGACGATTAAATACCTTAATTTACTTAAAATTAGACCGACGATTTGGTTTCTTAATTTACCTAAAATTAAAATGACGATTAAATATCTAGATCAGCGCCCCAAGAGTACTGAACACTTCAAAAGTCAATTCAAGCTGTCGTCACTTTGTCTGCGTTAATTAGAAATTAATGGACCATCGCTAGCAGACGTACTGGCAGTCACATCAAAGGAAATAGTGCTGCACGCATCATCGCACACACTTTTATTCTGTTGTCTGCCCACATCAGACACTCACTCACTACCAAAATAAAAAAATAAAAAAAAATAACTTAGTCACGTGGTTACATTGTACACATACACAACAAACTTAGTCACACGACTACACTGTACACATACAACACATTTAGTCACATGAATACATTCTACACACATACAACAAATTTAGTCACATGACTATATTTTACATGTATGCAACAATTTTAGTCACATGACTACATTTTTCACACATACAACAAATTTAGTCACATGACTATATTTTACATGTATGCAACAATTTTAGTCACATGACTACATTCTACACACATACAACAAATTTAGTCTACAAACATTAAACAAATTTAGTCACATAGCTACATATGTCTGAAAACCCTCTCTAAGGTACGTCTGAAAACCCTTTCTCAACTAAAACGGTTACTTAAACTATGTAGAAAAGCTCTATCTATGAGTAGCCATTTTTAATGGCTTGTTGTACGAAACGAACAATTTAAAAATTCAGTGAACTCAGATTAAATTAGAATTCAGTAAATTCAAATTAAACTCACGTGTTGCTAATGATAATTCATTTTTAACGAGCTGCAAAGTTTATAAGCGCCACTATTTTTTAGTAGCGGGTTACTTTTCTATCAATCACTTCAAGTGTTCGGGCGGCGATGGCTACTTTTGCGCTACTTTTGGTGGCTTTGTGTGGAGTTTTCACGCAGACGGACGGTAAATTCCAGTTTTAAAAAAAGAAATGTTCGTTGATTTAACATGCAATCTCCATTTTGGCATATTAGCAAAGTTCGTCATGACATAGATCTACAGTCTACACTTTTCAAGTAAATATTTAATCAAACATAACATTTTTTTTTGCTTTGATAGCAAAAAGCTTTTGAATGCTCCGAAAATAAGAAAATAAAACCTACTGTCGATCACACGTTGATACCTCATTGAATAAAGAATGATAGATTTATTTTCTTTTTTGTAGTCATTTATAAGCTTGTTGCTATAAAGTTTTTAAAATATATCTTTTATATTTGTTTTATTTTCTATGTTTTAAAGATTCCTAATTTGGAAGTAAACATAAATAAAAATATTTGCTCGCAATATCTAAAAGATAATTATCTGCCCCTTGAAAACAGCCGTCCGTGACCATATTTTACAAACAACAGCAAGTTCTTAATCTTGTTACCTCCCCTTAGTTTCAAATAGTTCTATCATTCCCTAATAACATTCGCTAGATCGACCGGCTCTACGACTGTAAACATTCTCACATATTTTACTATTCTTATAAATTAAAAAAAAAAAAGTTAATTCCATGTCCTTCATAGCATATTCTATTTTCTTTACCAAAATGTCCCCAGCTGTCAATTACCAGGTGAATGTGAAGACAGGTAGTGTTCAACTTGCAGGAACCGACGCGAACGTCTACATTGTCTTAGTCGGTAATCGAGGTCGTACCGAGAAAATGGAGCTGGGGAAAGGCGTGGCTTCAGCGTTCGAACCAGGCGACACGAACACCTTCGGAGTGAGGCTGAGCGATTTTGATCGCCTTATGGTTATTTATGGTTTAAGAATTAATCATAATTATAGATGACGGAACGGGTTGTCAGATGTTGTTAATAGTTTGCTTACCGCGAGCTTATTCATTGGTGACACCTTTAGAAATCGATGCGCAGAGACAGTTGTCATAATTTTTTTTTCGTCAACGAGCTGACACGCCCTGCGCCGTAAGCATACGCCGCTATTTAGTTGTTTTATTTTCTACTTTTCAGTAATTCATAATTTGTGAATTCGACACTACCTTCCCCCCCCCCCCCCCCCCCCCCGCCTCGGTGAAAGCAGCAGTCCGTGAAGACAGTTTACAGACGACAATGAAAAGATCAAGCAGAGCTTCTTACCTCTCCTTAGTTTCAAATCGTTTTAAAGCTAAATTATCTGCCCCCAATAGCCGTCACTAATTCGACCCGGCTCTACGATTGTAAACATTCGGCGTGAACCACATCTCACCAGACTGTTGGTGGTGGTAGCGAAATGGTCTGTTGCGCATGCCTGGAGAGCGAGAGAGGGGGTGGGAGGTGGGTTAGATAGTCGGCTTGCGTTGTCTTGCCCATGAAAAGAATTATATATATAGATATATAGCCGATGTTGGTGCTCTTACAAACATCATCATTGGACACGACAATACCGGAAGGAGACCTGGATGGTTTCTTGATACAGTAAGTGCTTCCATTAGCATATTTAGGACTTAAAAGTGCCTTGGTTAACTTTTTTTTTTACACGAAAGTGTCTTAGTTAACTTATTTTAGATTCGAAAGTAATTACCGTATTTAATCTGTTTTAGATTTGTTTTCTATTTATACTCATACCATTAGCTTAAGGTCAGCTACTGATGTATACCAGCACTCTTTGTGTTGGTGAAGAGAAAATTAAACTTACTGTTTCAGTTAGGAGTGGACGTTTGTGGGGAGAGTTTCTTTCTGCCATTTACTACTCCCCGTAGCAAGTAAATCGATTACTTCTCCTCCCCCCTCAAAGAAGTTTAAAATATATACAATCTATATACACAGTTTATTGTCGCCCATCTCCCCCCCCCCCGGGAAATTTAATTTAAGACGCCCTTCTCTCAAAAGTTTCAAGTGCTACGCCCCAGTGGGGTGGGGGGGGGGGTCCGACCAGGCAGCCCATGAACTTAATCATTCCTTTTACTTTAGATGAAAGCCAAGCGATATTATTTTTAAAAACTCTGGTTATACATAAACTCTTGTGTTAAGGTGAAGGTCAGAAAATATTTCACCCAAGCGGAGATCACAGTGATGGTCACTTTGTACAAAAACCGCGGCGAGTGCCAAGATGAGGAGGAGTTACTTCTGCCAGTAGATCAAGTCGACGGTGTCATGTACGGTGACATAGTTAACGGCAACTGGGATAATAAGGTCAATTAACTTTAAACAAATTAATTAGTCATCCAATGAAGCCAAATTTGATGTAAGATTGTATTGTCATCGGGACTTGACTCACGTGCCAAGTTTGAAGCGAATCGGTCAGTTAGAAGTGCTCGAAACCGATATCTTCCATGTTTTTTTCCTTCAGCTACCTGACTATATAGAGTATGAATTTAAATGGAACAATTGGATCGCAGCTGATGAACTGGACAAAACTCTGGAGAAAACTGTCGGTGCGGCACAGAAGAAGATTGTGTTCAAAAGCGTTCAGCAGCCCATGTAACGCTGATATACAGAAGAACACATAGGATCACATAGAATACATTATAAATCAATACTTTCTTTTGTTTCACTTTATTCGAGACTAAAACATATTTGGTAATGAAAAAAAAAAAAGAAAAGAATAAAATAAATAAAAAATGTATAGGTTGAATCTAGATCTAGTGGTTTATAGCAAAAAAAAAAAAAAAAAAAAAAAAAAAAAAAAAAAAAAAAAAAAAAAAAAAAAAAAAAAAAAACCAAACCTTATTTTATCTCATCAATTATGACGCTGTTTTGTTTCTCGAGAAAATAATAAACCGGGAGTGATCTCCACTAAACTTTCTCGAATATTCTAATCTAACACTAGGGGGGATGCCAACTTGGGACAAAGACAATATTTTAAATCCATTTTTAATTACTTAAACTTTTAATAATAGAATAGATTCTCGTATAATTTTACACTAAGTGAACGCCAAATAAAATGTACACAATAGTGTGGAATATTATTAGTACTTTATAAATTCACATGCGTATTTTGAGAAATCGGAATCAGAGTAAATTACTACTTCGGGTTGACGGAAATTACTCAAAATTTAAAACAAGGCAGAAAATTAGATCTTTGACTTTCGTGTGAAATTTTATGTATCTATCTGAAATAGTACTCAAGTTATACGCTT